CGTTTATTCCACCCAGGGTGACCACTACAATTATCCAGTAGGAGAAATATTTATTTGTAATTTGTGTTACATTAAATCTTCACTTTGTCTTTGTTTTAATAATTCATCAGTTCCTTTAAAAACATCAATCTTTTCAGCTTGTTTGTCTTTTGCTTATAGCATTTAGCTTTTAGCTGCAGTTTTTAGTTTTCAGATTGGGTTCTTGTGGTTCTTGTTCTGCTCATTTTAGCCTCTTTTTAACTTGTTTAGGGCTCAGTTCTGTTCATTAAAGCCTCTGTTTAGCTGATTTTATCTTCTGTTTTATCAATTGTAGTCTACATTTTGCTCAAATTAACTTGTGTTCAGCACATTTTAGCTTTTCTCATTCTCTTTTATTCTCTGTTGCATTAGTTTTGCCACTGTACTGGTGGTTTTAGCTCCTACACTGCAAAAACTGTGCATCTAGTCTTTTAATTTTATACCAGCCAAAAAGTATTTTTGATCTTGTTTTGAGACTGATACACTAAATAAGAGCGGAATTTATCAGATTTTCCTTATTTTAAGTGTAAATGTCTCATATTAGCAGATTATTTCACTTAATTTGAGTCTGAATCTTCTAAAGTTAATAAAATAATCTGAATAAGACATTTGTACTTCAAGCTAACAAGATTCATAATCTTAAACATCCTGCTCTTGTCTCTCAGCTTTCACTCTGTGTTTTTGCACAAAAAGCTGTTTTTCTAGTTTGAATAAGCAGTTATGTTTGATGACAAAGTGAACTTTAAATGTAAAAACCTCCGCCATGATAAATGTGACGTTAACAGCCTTTTTGTTTTTCTGCAAATGGATATTTTCTGAGAACTCACAAGATGAGTTTTGAGACGGTTTCTAAATGCATCCCACGTTAGGAGACAGCACCAGTCTGTAAGTGTGTGTTGTGACATCATTCAGCAGAGAGTGTGCTGTGACATCATTCAGCAGAGTGTGTGTTGTGACATCATTCAGCAGAGAGTGTGCTGTGACATCATTCAGCAGAGTGTGTGCTGTGACATCATTCAGCAGAGAGTGTGCTGTGACATCATTCAGCAGAGAGTGTGTGCTGTGACATCATTCAGCAGAGAGTGTGTGCTGTGACATCATTCAGCAGAGAGTGTGCTGTGACATCATTCAGCAGAGAGTGTGCGCTGTGACATNCATCATTCAGCAGAGAGTGTGCTGTGACATCATTCAGCAGAGTGTGTGTTGTGACATCATTCAGCAGAGAGTGTGCTGTGACATCATTCAGCAGAGTGTGCTGTGACATCATTCAGCAGAGTGTGTGTGCTGTGACATCATTCAGCAGA